TGCGGTTGAAAAAAGAAAGAAAAATGTATTTTGAAAAAAGAATCAAACAAGGTCTAAAATTTAAATATAACAATTATTTTGTTCAAACTGAACATATATAAGTTTGTTGTAAAAATTAACAATATTCATCAAATAATATTGTGGCCAAATTTTGTATAATTCAAAGGAAGAGCACAGGTTTGAATTTTTACAATTGCTTTAAAACCGATAAGATGTAATATATATTATTCTGGTAAACTTATTATCAAATTCCATGAATGCTACAATGGTCAAGTGTTCATTATCTTATCCTGAGGTTAGGGGTTCGAATCATCTTCCTTATTTTATTTAATTTTGACAAAAATTGTAGAATTTAAAATATTTCACAACAAAAATGTTCGGAAATAGATTCGAAATAGGGACCTCTCATGTGAATACTGAATATACATGTTCTTGTCAATTGAGCTACAAGATATGTATAGTAAAAGGAACTTACCAGGTATATAACTCAAATGTCTATTCATTGTAAAAAAAAATTGTTCCGACGGATCCAGCACGAGCGGTCGCTGGGACTCGCCGAGTGCTAGGTCCTCCCCTGCTAACAGTAAATGCACAAAATAACGTTTTCCACAATGAAACATGGAAATAAGGACGAAAATACAAAAAAATAAAATGTGGAAACGTTTTACACATTAAAAACCAAACGTATGAATGTTTTGTGCGAACAAGCACTTAAATAAATAAGAGTACTCATACATCAAAATTACTATGTGCACTAAATTTAATTGGGAATATTTGAATCCATATAGCTTATTAACAACTGTTGTATTTGTTAATTTAGCATTTGAGATGAGATGTCAAGTGATCAAATCCCACTAATGTCAAAAGTTTTGAAATTTTTTAAAACTGATTGGTTTAATTGCACCATGCTCTTCGCTCATGATATACCACTTGCACCAGCCCAAGGCCCAGTTCGTTGATTTTTCGATTGATCGAATAGTTCAATCTATACTCACTCGTTCAACAACCGACTCTATTTTCTAGTGTTAAGTGTGTGTAGACCGGTCTATGAAATCCAATCGGAGCAGTTTGTTAGATTGATTGTC